AACAAAAGGTTTTTAGAGTTTAACCCAAGCAAATGCAATGTAATGAAGATAGGTGTAGGGAGCAGGAGGCCAGATACAAGGAATCATTTGGGAGATGAAATACTTCAAGAGTCTGAGAGAAAGAAAGACTTGGGGGTTGATATCACGCCAGATCTGTCCCCTGAAGCTCATATCAAGAGGATATCATCAGCGGCATATGCCAGGTTGGCTAACATAAGAACAGCCTTTAGAAACCTACGTAAGGAATCTTTCAAAACTTTGTATACCACATATGTCAGACCAATCCTGGAGTATGCGGCTCCAGCATGGAGTTCATATCTAGTCAAGCATAAGACTAAACTGGAAAAGGTTCAAAGGTTTACCACCAGACTTGTACCCGAACTGAGGGGTATGAGCTACGAGGAGAGACTACGGGAATTAAACCTCACGTCACAAGGAGACAGAAGAGTTAGGGAGGACATGATCACCACATACAAGATTCTCAGAGGAATTGATAGGGTAGATAAGGACAGACCATTTAACGCAAGGGACATACACCCACTAGAGGACACAGGTGGAAATTGAGTGTCCAAATGATCCATTGAGACATTAGAAAGAATTTTTTCAGTGTCAGAATAGTAGACAAATGGAATGCATTAGGCAGTGATGTGATGGAGGCTGACTCCATACACAGCTTCAAGTGTAGATATGATAGAGCCCAATAGGCTCAGGAACCTGTACACCAGTTGATTGACGGTTGAGAGGCGGGACCAAAGAGCCCGCAAGCTCAACCCCCGCAAGCACAATTAGATGAGCACAACTAGGTGAGAACATCTAGGTGAGTACAATTAGATGAGTACAACTAGGTGAGTACAACTAGGTGAGTACATCTAGGTGAGTACAATTAGATGAGTACATCTAGGTGAGTACAACTAGGTGAGTTCAACTAGGTGAGTACAACTAGGTGAGTACAACTAGATGAGTACAACTAGGTGAGTACAACTAGGTGAGTTCAACTAGGTGAGTACAACTAGTTGAGTACAACTAGGTGAGTTCAACTAGGTGAGTACAACTAGTTGAGTACAACTAGATGAGCACATCTAGGTGAGTACAACTAGGTGAGTTCAACTAGGTGAGTACAACTAGTTGAGTACAACTAGATGAGCACAACTAGGTGAGTACAACTAGATGAGCACAACTAGGTGAGTACAACTAGGTGAGTACAACTAGGTGAGTACAACTAGGTGAGTACAACTAGGTGAGTACAACTAGGTGAGTACAACTAGATGAGTACAACTAGATGAGTACAACTAGGTGAGTTCAACTAGGTGAGTACAACTAGTTGAGTACAACTAGATGAGTACAACTAGGTGAGTACAACTAGGTGAGCACAACTAGGTGAGTACAACTAGATGAGCACATCTAGATGAGTACAACTAGGTGAGTACAACTAGATGAGCACATCTAGATGAGTACAACTAGGTGAGTACAACTAGGTGAGTACAACTAGATGAGCACATCTAGATGAGTACAACTAGGTGAGTACAACTAGGTGAGTACAACTAGATGAGCACATCTAGGTGAGTACAACTAGGTGAGTACAACTAGGTGAGTACCCTCTATGAACATATAATGGTGCAATTTCTCCTGCTGATCTATTTCTTCAACTGAAACTGTTTCCACTGTATTTTGCAACAGCCTCACCACTCACCAGCGTAGTTCCTTACCGCCGTGCAATACTACATGACTTGAAGATCATTGCAGAGCAACATCTTCAGGCAGCTTGAAATTAATTCCACCACCTGAGAACTTGCAATTCACGACCAGTAAAGATGCTCGCATTATTTACGGGGCTCCTTCTGAAGAGTCACCGCTACACTCTCCGTTTTCTGTTCCAAAATCTCTATGGAACCGGATCCGAGTTACATCATCTGAACTTCTGTGTATGTCATCTGGGCAAATGGGGGTGCGGGGGGCCTTTGACAAGCTGTCGGCTTCCTGTCCTCGTCGAGGCCACTAGTATCAACGGCCCTCAGGTAAATTCAGGTAAATATGTATCTAAGATTTTGAGACTGAGTAAAAAAGGTTCCACCCCTACCTCTTCCATGTCCACCCCTACCTCTTCCATGTCCTCCCTACCTCTTCCATGTCCACCCCTACCTCTTCCATGTCCACCCTACCTCTTCCATGTCCACCCCTACCTCTTCCATGTCCACCCCTACCTCTTCCATGTCCTGCCTACCTCTTCCATGTCCACCCTACCTCTTCCATGTCCTCCCTACCTCTTCCATGTCCACCCCTACCTCTTCCATGTCCACCCTACCTCTTCCATGTCCACCCTACCTCTTCCATGTCCTCCCTACCTCTTCCATGTCCTGCCTACCTCTTCCATGTCCACCCTACCTCTTCCATGTCCTCCCTACCTCTTCCATGTCCACCCCTACCTCTTCCATGTCCACCCCTACCTCTTCCATATCCTCCCTACCTCTTCCATGTCCACCCTACCTCTTCCATGTCCACCCTACCTCTTCCATATCCTCCCTACCTCTTCCATGTCCACCCTACCTCTTCCATGTCCACCCTACCTCTTCCATGTCCACTCCTACCTCTTCCATGTCCACCCCTACCTCTTTAATATCCACCCCTACCTCTTCCATATCCACCCTACCTCTTCCATGTCCACCCCTACCTCTTCCATGTCCACCCCTACCTCTTCCATGTCCACCCCTACTTCTTCCATATCCACCCTACCTCTTCCATGTCCACCCTACCTCTTCCATATCCTCCCTACCTCTTCCATGTCCACCCTACCTCTTCCATATCCTCCCTACCTCTTCCATGTCCACCCTACCTCTTCCATATCCTCCCTACCTCTTCCATGTCCACCCTACCTCTTCCATGTCCACCCTACCTCTTCCATGTCAACCCTACCTCTTCCATTTTCAAGAGAAAACTAGATTTATTCCTCCAAGGAGTGCCGGACCAACCGGGCTGTGGGGGGTATGTGGCCCTGCGGGCCGCTCCAAGCAACAGCCTGGTGGACCAAACTCTCACAAGTCAAGCCTGGCCTCGGGCCGGGCTTGGGGAGTAGAAGAACTCCCAGAACCCCATCAACCAGGTATCAACCAGGTATACAACCAGGTAACATATCCACCCTATCTCTTCCATGTCCACCCTACCTCTTCCATATCCTCCCTACCTCTTCCATGTCCACCCCTACCTCTTAAATATCCACCCCTACCTCTTCCATATCCACCCTACCTCTTCCATGTCCACCCCTACCTCTTCCATATCCACCCTACCTCTTCCATGTCCACCCCTACCTCTTCCATGTCCACCCTACCTCTTCCATATCCTCCCTACCTCTTCCATGTCCACCCCTACCTCTTCCATATCCACCCTACCTCTTCCATGTCCACCCCTACCTCTTCCATGTCCACCCCTACCTCTTCCATGTCCACCCTACCTCTTCCATGTCCACCCTACCTCTTCCATGTCCACCCTACCTCTTCCATGTCCACCCCTACCTCTTCCATGTCCACCCCTACCTCTTCCATGTCCACCCTACCTCTTCCATGTCCACCCTACCTCTTCCATGTCCACCCTACCTCTTCCATATCCACCCAACCTCTTCCATGTCCACCCTACCTCTTCCATATCCACCCTATCTCTTCCATGTCCACCCCTACCTCTTCCATGTCCACCCTACCTCTTCCATATCCTCCCTATCTCTTCCATATCCACCCTACCTCTTCCATGTCCACTCTACCTCTTCCATATCCACCCTATCTCTTCCATGTCCACCCCCTACCTCTTCCATGTCCACCCTACCTCTTCCATGTCCACCCTACCTCTTCCATATCCACCCTATCTCTTCCATGTCCACCCTACCTCTTCCATGTCCACCCTACCTCTTCCATGTCCACCCTACCTCTTCCATGTCCACCCTACCTCTTCCATATCCACTCTATCTCTTCCATGTCCACCCTACCTCTTCCATGTCCACCCTACCTCTTCCATGTCCACCCTTCCTCTTCCATATCCACCCTATCTCTTCCATGTCCACCCCTACCTCTTCCATGTCCACCCCTACCTCTTCCATGTCCACCCTACCTCTTCCATATCCACCCTATCTCTTCCATGTCCACCCTACCTCTTCCATGTCCACCCTACCTCTTCCATGTCCACCCTACCTCTTCCATGTCCACCCTACCTCTTCCATGTCCACCCTACCTCTTCCATGTCCACCCTACCTCTTCTATATCCACCCTATCTCTTCCATGTCCACCCTACCTCTTCCATATCCTCCCTACCTCTTCCATATCCACCCTACCTCTTCCATGTCCACCCTACCTCTTCCATGTCCACCCTACCTCTTCCATGTCCACCCTTCCTCTTCCATATCCACACTTCCCTCTTCCATGTCCACCCCTACCTCTTCCATATCCACCCTATCTGTTCTATGTCCACCCCTACCTCTTCCATGTCCACCCTACCTCTTCCATGTCCACCCTGCCTTTTCCATATCCACCCTATCTCTTCCATGTCCACCACTACCTCTTCCATGTCCACCCTATCTCTTCCATGTCCTCCCTACCTTTTCCATGTCCACACCTACCTCTTCCATATCCATCCTACCTCTTCCATGTCCACCCTACCTCTTCCATGTCCACCCTATCTCTTCCATATCCATCCCTACCTCTTCCACGTCCACCCTACCTCTTCCACGTCCACCCTACCTCTTCCACGTCCACCCCTACCTCTTCCACGTCCACCCTACCTCTTCCATATCCACCCCCACCTCTTTCCATATCCACCCCTGCCTCTGCCATATCCACTCTAACTCTTTTACATCCGCCTTGTCGATCCACACCCCTCCCTCCCCCCTCCCCCCCCCCCACACACCCCAATACCATCGTCATCTGCGCCAAAAAATGCATCTCAATATGTTACCTCAGCTCCCTGTTTACCTCTGCATCTCTCCCTCCCTCTCTACATTTATCTCTCTCTCACTCCCTCAGGTACCTGCAGGCGGCGGAGAACTACGACCCGGGTTTCGCATTCTCCTACCGAGGTCCGGTGCCCATGAAGGGCCGGAAGGAGCCCATGCACGTCTGGTTCCTTGATAGGAAGATCCCTATGTTGGCGGCTCTTCCCGCCCCTTAGGGCTGGGGGACTTAGTGAGGGCTTGGGGACTTAGTGAGGGCTTGGGGACTTAGTGAGGGCTTGGGGACTTAGTGAGGGCTTGGGGACTAAGTGAGGGCTTGGGGACTTAGTGAGGGCTCGGGGACTTAGTGAGGGCTCGGGGACTTAGTGAGGGCTGGGGGACTTAGTGAGGGCTTGGGGACTTAGTGAGGGCTTTGGGACTTAGTCAGGGCTTGGGGACTTAGTCAGGGCTTGGGGACTTAATGAGGGCTCGGGGACTTAGTGAGGGTTTGGGGACTTAATGAGGGCTTGGGGACTTAGTGAAGGCTGGGGGACTTAGTGAAGGCTGGGGGACTTAGTGAAGGCTTGGGGACTTAGTGAGGGCTTGGGGACTTAGTGAGGGCTTGGAGACTTAGTGAGGGCTTGGGGACTTAGTAAGGGCTAGGGGACTTAGTAAAGGCTTGTGAACTTCGTAGTGACTTAAAAACTTTGCAATGACTAGTAAACTTACTAAGGACTGGTGAACTTAGTGTGGATTTCAGAAGTTAGTAAGGATTAGCTAGGGAACTTATAAGAAGTTCAGAAGTTACCAGGAACTATGGTACTTTGTAAGGTCTATGGAACTTAGAAGTTCTACAGAACTTAGTAAGGATTATTGAAGTTTGAAAGAACTATGGAACTTAGTTACAACTTAGGAAGTTAATAAGAACTGTTAAACTTAGTAAGGACTATGGAACTTAGTAAGGAATAAGAAACTTAGTAAGAACTAAGAAACTTAGTAAGGACTAGGGAACTTAGTAAGGATTAAGAAACTTAGTAAAGATAAAGGAACTCAGTAAGGACTAGACAGAGAGTAGATCCTCAGGAGACTATGGAGTTGGGCTCTGGTTGTCGGTCTGGAGTGGCCTCACCAGGGCGAAAAGCCAGGCAAGGTTGATACGGAGAAGCTGTTACCCAAGCAGCAGGTCCCCCCTTTCTCCACGGCGCCGAATGTCTCTAATGGAAAGGCAAACGCCAATACGGTTGGTTCCAGCGCCGTCGCAGGAGCTGTGAGCTCCGGAGTTGACCTCCAAGTTGGTGAAGAAGGGACAGGGACTCCAAACCCGGACACCGCCTTGGTCGGGGCAGGAGACCAACCACCCCATCAAGGGCAGGAACGACCCCAGCCTCCTGCAGCAGAGCTTGGGCCGCACGAGCCCCAGGAGGTGGACGGCCTGGTCCAGCACCTACGGGTTCCTGACAGAGAGCGTCAGTAAGGTCTAAGGAACTTAGTAAGGACTTGGAAACTTAAGTGATTGTTTCACATGTGATTAAGTTCGAGGAGGGAGTTTTCTCAGTGTAACTTTTTCGTTGTTGTCTGTTATCTCTTTACTCTCGTTACCACAAGAATTATCATGATAATTATAATGGTTTTATTAATATGTACATTACTATTGATCTCATCGTAAAGGAGAATTCATTGCAATTTTTGTATTTACAATTTTTATTGAAACGTTTATGTTTAGTATCTTTGTAATTCACAGAGAAAACAGTGAGATATATTGATTTGTCATATGTATATATATATATATATATATATATATATATATATATATATATATATATATATATATATATATATATATATATAATATATATATATATATATATATATATATATATATATATATATATATATATATATATATATATGTCGTACCTAATAGCCAGAACCCACTTCTCAGCCTACTATGCAAGGCCCGATTTGCCTAATAAGCCAAGTTCTCATGAATTAATTGTTTTTCGACTACCTAACAAACCTAACCTAACTTTTTCGGCTACCTAACCTAACCTAACCTAACCTATAAAGATAGGTTAGGTTAGGTTAGGTTAGGTAGAGTTGGTTAGGTTCGGTCATATATCTACGTTAATTTTAACTCCAATAAAAAAAAAATTGACCTCATACATGATGAAATATGTAGCTTTATCATTTCATAAGAAAAAATTACAGAAAATATATTAATTCAGGAAAACTTGGCTTATTAGGCAAATCGGGCCTTGCATAGTAGACTGAGAAGTGCGTTCTGGCTACTAGGTACGACATATATATATATATATATATATATATATATATATATATATATATATATATATATATATATATATATATATATATATATATATATATATATATATATATATATATATATATATATATATATATATATATATATATATATCAATTGATATATCATATATATTTCTCCTATATATCTCGTCATATATCAATGAGAACCGCCACAGGAGCCGTGACTGGGATTCGAACCTATGAATTACTGGTCGACAGAGCCAGAGTGCATGGGGGGGGGGGGGGTTAAGCTGTGTGAAATTCGGTTTGGTTCGGCATCAGTGGACGCCTCGGGATCCTTGTGGGTGCAGTTGTACTCAAGGTTGTAATTCTTTTGACCATGTCGTAGCGTACTCGGCTAGAGCGTGCATCCGGGAACACCCGTCGCATAGGTTCGAATCCCCATTACGGCACCTCAATGGTACCCAACCTCTTGGTGGACGGTCGGGGATTGAACGCCGACTTGCATGACGCGGGTCCGTCACTCTACCGTCCACCCCACAAGTAGCCAGGGCCATACATAATTTTTTTTTTTTTGAAGATTGAGAAAAACCCCGAAGTGTTTGGGGAAGAAACACGACCATGTATAACACATACAAGCATTTCGTTCACTCCGAGGAGAGTCGAACTGGGACTCCGAAGTACGAGACGACTGCGCAATACCGACCTCACCACCCATGATATCGGATCTCATATTCATAGTTATATTCTTATTATGGGCATCCAGGGTGCGGTTGGGAGGGCAACGGTCTCGTCGTTCTTTCCAGGGCCCGGGTTCGAGTCTCCCATGACGCAAGTGAGTGAAATGTTATCAGCCGCGCTGTTGTGGTCTGCATCTTGCACACAAGCACATATATAATATGTATATTTGAACGCTTCTTCAGGACGTAGAACGCTCTTTCTGGCCAGAGGAACGTTCACTATGGCCAGATGAACGTTCATTATGGCCAGATGAACGTTCATTATGGCCAGATGAACGTTCAATATGGCCAGATGAACGTTCACTATGGCCAGATGAACGTTCACTATGATCAGATGAACGTTCACTATAGCCAGATGAACGTTCACTATGGCCAGGTGAACGTTCACTATGGCCAGATGAACGTTCACTATGGCCAGATGAACGTTCACTATGGCCAGATGAACGTTCACTATGGCCAGATGAACGTTCACTATGACCAGATGAACGTTCACTATGACCAGATGAACGTTCACTATGACCAGATGAACGTTCACTATGACCAGATGAACGTTCACTATGGCCAGATGAACGTTCACTATGGCCAGATGAACGTTCACTATGGCCAGATGAACGTTCACTATGGCCAGGTGAACGTTCACTATGGCCAGGTGAACGTTCACTATGGCCAGATGAACGTTCACTATGGCCAGATGAACGTTCATTATGATCAGATGAACGTTCACTATGGCCAGGTGAACGTTCACTATGGCCAGATGAACGTTCACTATGATCAGATGAACGTTCACTATGGCCAGGTGAACGTTCACTATGGCCAGATGAACGTTCATTATGGCCAGATGAACGTTCACAATGAACAGATGAACGTTCACTATGATCAGATGAACGTTCACTATGAACAGATGAACGTTCACTATGGCCAGATGAACGTTCACTATGGCCAGATGAACGTTCACTATGAACAGATGAACGTTCACTATGACCAGATGAACGTTCACTATGACCAGATGAACGTTCACTATGACCAGATGAACGTTCATTATGGCCAGATGAACGTTCACTATGGCCAGGTGAACGTTCACTATGGCCAGATGAACGTTCACTATGGCCAGATGAACGTTCACTATGGCCAGATGAACGTTCACTATGGCCAGATGAACGTTCACTATGGCCAGATGAACGTTCACTATGACCAGATGAACGTTCACTATGGCCAGATGAACGTTCACTATGGCCAGATGAACGTTCACTATGGCCAGATGAACGTTCACTATGGCCAGATGAACGTTCACTATGGCCAGGTGAACGTTCACTATGGCCAGGTGAACGTTCACTATGGCCAGATGAACGTTCACTATGGCCAGATGAACGTTCACTATGACCAGATGAACGTTCACTATGGCCAGATGAACGTTCACTATGGCCAGATGAACGTTCACTATGACCAGATGAACGTTCACTATGGCCAGATGAACGTTCACTATGACCAGATGAACGTTCACTATGACCAGATGAACGTTCACTATGGCCAGATGAACGTTCACTATGACCAGGTGAACGTTCACTATGACCAGATGAACGTACACTATGGCCAGATGAACGTTCACTATGGCCAGATGAACGTTCACTATGGCCAGGTGAACGTTCACTATGGCCAGATGAACGTTCACTATGGCCAGGTGAACGTTCACTATGGCCAGGTGAACGTTCACTATGGCCAGGTGAACGTTCACTATGGCCAGATGAACGTTCACTATGATCAGATGAACGTTCACTATGGCCAGATGAACGTTCACTATGGCCAGGTGAACGTTCACTATGGCCAGATGAACGTTCACTATGGCCAGGTGAACGTTCACTATGGCCAGGTGAACGTTCACTATGGCCAGATGAACGTATCTGGTGTTGAATATATGTAAACAAAAAAAAAAGCTGACGATTAAATGTGTAATTTCTGGAATTTTATTTGTAATACACTTCTCGTTAATCTCTTAATTACTTTATAAATTTGCTAAAGCTGTTTATTAGTAATCACTGCAAGAGCCACACTGCTTGGCCTGGTAGGCAAGGCTCGGGTTGCTTAACAACCCGAGATTATCTTACTGAAGCGATCATTCTAGTCATGAATACTCACACACCGCCTAAGTCAGTAAGTAAGTAAGTAAGTAAGTAAGTAAGTAAGTAAGTAAGTAAATAAGTAAGTAAGTAAGTAAGTAAGTAAATAAGTAAGTCAATAAGTCAGTCAGTAAGTAAGTTATTAGTAATTAGGCCCAATTTGCCTAATAAGCCAAGTTTTCATGAATTAATTGTTTTTCGACTACCTAACCAACCTAACCTAACCTAACCTAACTTTTTCGGCTACCTAACCTAACCTAACCTATAAATATAGGTTAGGTTAGGTTAGGTAGGGTTGGTTAGGTTCGGTCATATATCTACGTTAATTTTAACTCCAATTAAAAAAATTGACATCATACATAATGAAATGGGTAGCTTTATCATTTCATAAGAAAAATATTAGAGAAAATATATTAATTCAGGAAAACTTGGCTTATTAGGCAAATCGGGCCTTGCATAGTAGGCCGAGAAGTGCATTCTGGCTACTAGGTACGACATATATATATATATATATATATATATATATATATATATATATATATATATATATATATATATATATATATATATATATATATATATATATATATATATATATATATATATTAGTATATTTTGGTAGCAGTCTTTCCTGTAGACATATATTATTAAATATGACCGAAAAAGTAAGATTAATAATTCTAACACGAATTTTCTCTGTTTCTTATATTTCTTTTCACTGTTGATGGTAACTTAAAAATCAATTCTCCAAAATTCATTTTTATTTCTAGTCTGACGCGATACTTGAACGCATTACGTAATAACTTATTACATTTTCAAAGACTTTAGTTTACACACACACAACTATAACTGAACAGAGTTCAAACAGCTGCGATTTTATACCTGCATTTGGGTGAGGTGATATGTTACAACAGTTTTGGATGAGGTGAAAACAAACTTTCAACACAAGACAGGACACGAAACAATGGGTATAATATTTTGTAAGTTAAAGGGAAGAATGGAAGTAACTGCAAAGGGCCTATTGGCCCATATTTCTTGATGCTTCTATATTC